TAAAAAATCACTTTCATAAGGGCCAAAATCGCTTCCGTGCTAAATCATGCAAACAAACTATTAACCCAAAAACGTACAGGAACTCATCTAAAGATGTCAAAGGTTCAAAGGATTTTAATCCTTATGCGTTTATGTTCGGATTTGACGGATTCGCGTACTAAAACACTGGTTTGTAAAGTAGTCAAATGGGAATTTGCAATGTTATGTATGTGGCCGCACACTTTGATGTGGTTGCTTTGTTTATGTTATCTTGTACTTAATTGTCTACATAGGTATTACAATATTTTTTGATTCGAAAAATATTGTAACTCATAACTCTTGGATTCATTCTATCTGAATGAAAAACAGCGCCATCTAACGAATCCCTAACTAAAAGTTTATGAATGAAATTAATAACAGCGCCATCTACCGATTCATAAATAAAACATTTAATAATTCATAAACTCGATCAATTATGACCTAAATATATTTCTCAATAACTGTATAAAGGTGTGTAAACTAAACTAAAAAACTAAACGTATAATTAAAACAAATCTTACGCGTTGGATCAGTGTGTATCCAGCTTTACTTTAACTTCGGATTCGCATTCCTGACGTCATTTAAAATCAGTAACATAATCAAGTGCCAGAATTGTGGCGTCGTAAATTGCATTGAATACGAGCTTACTCTTCAGATATACTTAGAATTCTATGTCAGGCGTATCTGGTTTGGTCAATTTTAACTTTTTACTGATATTCTTGTTAAATTATTATACTAAAATGCTTTATTAGTTTTCAAGTACTATTTCTATTTTCTATAAGATCGTTAATAAAACATTTTAGTGACTCATTATGCCTTGCCATCTAGCGGAAACATATTGCACTAATTTGTTTATGCACGAAAGAAACATCGATTTTTCTTTCTCTTTTTATAATCTTAGTTAGATTATAATTTCAAAAGTTTATTTACCATTTTTTTTAATTAAACAGAAAACATATATGAAGTTTTACATTTAAAAAAATAGGTTTTTGTTTATAGTTATAAAAGCTTTCGCTCGCGACTTCGTCCGCGTTGATTAAAAAAAGTGAGTAGTCTATGTGCTTTTCCAGACTATCCTCTACATCTATGCCAAATTTCATCGAAATCCGTTTAGCTGTTTAGGCTACAAACTCTAACAAACATCCATCTAAACTTTCGCATTTATAATATTAGTATGATTTGAACTTGTGACCTATGGATTACAATTTTCCTTACAAAGTTCTATTTCAATCATAATTTAACACACTATTTAAAAATCTTATTACCAAAGGTGTAAGGTTTAATTTTGTTTGTTATTTTGTCAGTCTGGGGAAACGCATTTCATAGTCTCTTTGTATGCAAAGTTAACACAGATCGACACAGTGTTTATGATGTATTGTATACAGTAAATGGTGAATAAAATTATTTGCTATTATAATGGAAATTGTATAGGTTCAGTTGCCTTTACTGGGATTTAATACAAGGTGATTTGTAGAATTGCTTTCAATATGTGTAGTTCATGAACTTTCTGCCATTTTCCAAGTTGACAACACTACAGGATGTTTCATTTTTCTTAGGTCGCGTATGTTAATACTTGTAGCTTAACTGTCAGTAAATGAGTTCTAACTTTGAACAAGAAAAATAAAAATAAGCTTCCATTCGCGACTGAATCCGCGTGAAATTAAAAAAAAAAACATTAAAAAAATATAGCCTATGTCACACACAGAAAAATTGCCTTTCTAGCTGTGAAAGAATTTTTAAAATCGGCCCAGTAGTTTTTGAGCCTATTCATTACAATGAAACAAAATTTTCCTCTTTATAATATCAGTACAGACTAGCTTTTCAATCCATCCGCGTGGAAAAAAAACAAAAGCAGTCTATGTATTCTTCTAGACTGTTCTATATCTATGCGATACATCCAGATCCGTTAGTCGTTTAGGATACAAACACTAACATCCATCCATCTAAACTTTCGTATTTACAATAAGTAACTAATGTTTTGATCCGTTCTTATCAATTTGAAAAACAAATGAACTGTCACAAAAATATTTAGGTCTCTTTCTATCATATAACTACTAGCTTTCGCCCGCGACTCCGACTCCGTCGGCGTGGAATTAAGACAAACAAAATTGAGTAGCCTGTTTGTTCTTCCAGGCTATCCTCTACGTCTATACCAAATTTCATCGAAATACGTTCAGGGTTAGGCTAGAAACTCTAACAAAAATCTAAACTTTCGACTTTTAATGTTAATATATCTACCATCTCTTTCTTGTAACGAAAATATACCTAAAAGTGATGTGTCCTTCTCTTTCTATAAGGTAGCAATACCAGTTTCAAAATAATTATCATTATGTTTTACTACTATCGGGGTAATATCAAATGGGTAATTCAAGTACAATTTACAAGCGAATTACCAGCAATTTATCATAAAACTTGACGTTTTACGAGTATGTAACTCGGAGTCAATTACAATCACGGCTGTGAAATGACTAATTGGAGACGTTTATACAGGATGTTGTAAAAAAGTTCGTTAAAATATTTTTCTATCGACAAAACAGATTTGTTGATCATAAGTCAAATTAAAAACATTTCACTAGCGCCCCCTGTAGATTTAAACACACTAAATCCCTTTTGTAATTTCTTATACTTATGTAATTTCTGGTAGAATTACGAACACTCACCTTTGATTAAACTATCGCACGACTGTTGTCGATTGTTTCGCAGCCAACTGTTTAGTTGCATTACTAAAAATCGAGTATTGCCCTACATATAATCTCATAGGTTTCTTACGGTAAGGAAAAACATCGTGATACTGCACATATCGGCGAAGAAATTCAAAGATATGTGTGAAGTCAACCCGCAGTGCAGCGTGGTTGACTATGGCCTAGTCACCCCGTATTAGCGTAGGCTCCGAGCCCTTTGGTGGGGACGTATAGTGAGCTGGTGATGATGATAAACTCATAGGAATCAAGGGAGACTAAACAGTTGTGCGATAGTTTTTCTTCCGTTCTTAACAATAGTATAGATTAACGGGTATTTTATTGTTTTTGTAATTAAAATTATGATTTACAACTTAATCTTTGACTATAAAAGCGTTTGTTAACGGTACTTTTAAAGTTATTAGCTTGCTTAACACTTAACTTTATAGACTAACTGCTAACTTAATTGGTGTGGTGGTTAAACGTTTTGCTTTCATACCTCTAATTTTACTTAACTATCTTTATGTATAACTGGCTGTTGCTCGCAACTTCGTCCGCGTGACATTAATAAATAGAAAAAAATATAGCCTATGTTACTCACAGGTAAATTATCTTTGTAACGGTAAAACGGTAAAAGAATTTATAAAATCGGCCAAGTAGTTTTTGCTAGTTCTAATACTAGCAGTTCCCGTGAGACTTCATTCGCATGAAATTATGAAAATTGTTTTAGACTACTTTATTAAATATTACGCAATCAAAAACATGCAAATAGGCATAGTTTATAGACTTACAAATACATGTTATATATCGTTTATTTTGTGTAAAAATCTATTTTCATTCGGTCACAGACGTGATTAAATCACGTGACAAGTTCAATGAACTTTCAAATTGTGGACGACTACTAAACGTATGCCAAGTAGATCGAAAAATATATAGAGGTTTTATATAGTTTCTTGCAGTAAAAAGAATACAATAAACACATATTTCTCTATAATACGACCTGTTCCCGTGCGGCTTCATCCATGTGAAATTATAAAAACTATATGTTATTGTTTATATCTGTAAAATCAGGTTCAAATGTCAAAATTCATGCACAAATGACAACGAAGGCCTTTGACATTGGATAACAATTACCGTTACCATAGCAACCTTGCTCTCTTTATGTCAGCTTGTTGTTATTGTCCCTTTTCCGCATGAAGCTTTTTACCAATTTTTGACACAATAAGTTGAATAGCGTGAAAATATATACCTAGCTTATGGCGTGTCATAAGTGTGATTTGCGAAAAGAAATGCGAAAGCGTAAGCGTTCCGGTGACACAGCCACTGGCGGACAGAAGGAACACCGCTGGCTTTTTAGTGGGTATTTCGGCCATCTTCCATCTTCTCGGCCGGCGAGTCCCACATACTCCCCTTGGTAACGAGAGGGATGCGTAAATGCATTCCCAGCGAGAAAAAATGGCGTGTCATAAGTGTAGGGCTTTTAAATAACGAAATGATTATTCAAAAATATACTGTGATTGTACAGATTAAAATAAATGACGAATAAATTCTCTCTCGATTTCATATAACAGTGTTTTTAGTTAATTAAAACAACTAACAGGTCTGTTTGAGTTATTCGCAGCAACTATAAATATACGGGGCTGTTTATTTTTGTCTGAGCGTTCCGTTCTCAATGATCACTGTCTCGACAAGATAAAGTTAAAATATTTCATTTATAAAAATAAATTGAACAGTTAACTTTGTTGTTTATTTAACTGTACTATATTCTAGTTAAATATAACAATCTTATATATATTCTAGTTTACTATTACAATCTTATCTTACTAATACTATAAATGCGAAAGTTTAGATGGATGGATGTTTGTTAGAGTTTGTAGCTCAAACAGCTGAACGGATTTCGATGAAATTTGTCATAGATGTAAAGAATAGTCTGGAAGAACACAGGCTATTCACTTTTGTTTTTTAATTCCACGCGGATGGAGTCACAGGCGAAAGCTAGTACTATTATAATTAAGAATAATCACATATTTTGTTATGTAGGATGTCAGTAAACATAGTATATTTTTTAATAATTTTTAGTACAATGCTTATACTTACGATAGTCTTTTAGGTATATGTTTTATAGCTATTTAATTTAGGGGTGAATGAATTGGAAAAAAGTTAACAAAGCTAAGCAAGATTACCATGATAATGGTAATTTTTAGCCAATGGCAAAAGCTTTTCGTTTAGATTTATGCATTTGCTTAAGAACGTGGGTGTTCACGTTTTGTTTTTAGTCTTATGTCTTTTGTATTTTGTCTCCAGGTGCACTAATAGGCGGTATCCTCGGCGGTGTGGTGATGCGCTACGGTCGCCGCAGTATACTGCTGGCAGCTGCTCTACCGTACACGCTCGCGTGGGTTGCAATAGCC